ACCCCCTCCCCAAACAACCACCCCCCCAAACCCTTATAACTTTGTTGGTACTTGAGCAAACACAGAATTTACTCCTTTGGTCTGGTGTATTGGTCAGAGTTTCCTGAACCCCACCCCACTTACTTGAGAAAACGGGGTTTAGGCAGTTCTAGCAAATTTTAGGCTTAATTTCAAGTTCTTTCTGCATATTTTATTGATTTTTACTCCAATAAAATAAAAAGAGACTCAATTTTCAAAATCCATAGTGTTCATTTATTACCTCTAGTAACATATTATACTGTATAAATACTCTATCCTTGTTATATGCCCTTTTAAAAAAGCGATAACTTAGAAGATCACATTAGACAAGAAGTATAAAAATAAATAGGTTCATTATATGCATTTTATTACAAATTATAACCCTTCGTGGAAGGAAAAGAAATATAAAAATACTTATAAAGTATATATGATCTATAGTAATATATACATATGGAAAGCCATATTCTCTCATAGTCTATGGACTGGCACAAACTTTAATAATGCAAGTGTTGGCGTATTGCTGTGGATGGACCTGCTATCCTTCAGCTTTGTTTTTCCCGCCTTATAAGTAATTTGAGTACTACAAAAATAGATGTCACATATAAGATTCCTGTTCCCATATGGGAAATTTTCTTTTGAGTTTGTTTTAAGAAGAACACAATTTGCCACTGGCTGGAATAAGGTAAGAGTTCAGAACTTGTGTTCTCGAATTCTCACTATCTCAAGTCAGATGCCAGTAGGGTATGACCAAGCTGGAACCAAAGCAGCCAGGGAAAGGTTTGGCTGGGGAACATAAAAAGCAACAGCTTTCAGACAGTACCTGCTCATGAAGACTACCACTTGTTCTGGCTTTTAAAATTATGCATGTCAATATGACTGCATCCAAATGGATGAGAGAAATGGACAGAAACACCAGAATGACACAGATGCCTAAAACTATGAAAACATTCTAGTCATTTGCCAATTAACAGGTTGATTGTTTTTGTTATTTTTGACTCTTTACTGATAGAGAATATGGCTTTTTTTTTTTTTTAAATAAAACTATTCTCTGAAAAAAAATAGCAGCCATGAATGATATAGTTGAAACTCCTTTTCTAATCCTGTTTTTTTTTGGTTTGGGTTTTTTTTGTTGCCATTTTTGAGGTAGCTAAGCCCTGACCAATTATTTTATGCTTAGGTAAAAGCTCTTACTTCCTTCCCCTGACCCTTTCCAAAACTAAGGACTTGGTCAGTACCGCAGAGATCCTAAAGGGGAAAGAAAAAAAAACAAAATGGAGAACAAACTCCAACATGTTTGCTTATAAACTCACTTTGGCCACTGCTTACATTTTGTTTAACTTGTAACAAACATAAAAACAATTATAATGCCCTAAGGCGGTTTCTGTTGCAGAAGAGTTAGTGACACTGGTTTGCTATCTTATCAAATTTGCAGTTGGCAGGATATTTATGATGCAACACCAACTAAAATTATTTGCACTGTCCCATCTGGATAAGTCCTCACCTTGAATTTTATATGCAAAATACATGTGCTATCTCTAGCCTCTAGCCCTCTTAATTTCAGTGCATTGTCTTAAAAAATAATATAATATATATATCTTTAGCGTTCCCAGCTTGATACTGTTTAACTGCAGTTTGCAATATTACAAAAGTCTATTAAATGTTTAGGTTTCTTTGAAAGGTCACAGCTTTCTTGTGGCAACACACTGCCATCAAAAGAAATACATTTTAATAATCTCTTCTTAAAACCCTTCCCACATGTCTTAGAACATGGTGACCAATCTCCCAATTGCCACTGTGGGCAAGGCATGTCTGCACATGGTCGGATATCATTTGGTTTCAGTTCTTTTGCGCAGTCTGTGGCAGGCTGCCCATTAAGGTCCCTGCATTCTACAGCTCTTCTTTGCCAGCCAGATCCACAGGTCTTTGAACATTCTCCCCATTCTTCAATTACCCATTCAGATAAGATAGTCTCCTTAATAGCATTAAATGATTCTTTCTTTTTACTGGAAAGTTTCTCGATCCCACTCTGTAATGGTTTCTTCACAAAATAGGTGTATTTGATTTTGGGTTGAGGTGAATCACCCACAGTAAGGACCTGGATAGTTAAAGGTTCCTTGAGAGGACTAAAGCTGCGGATTCTTTCCAGCGCTGCAGAGGAGCCACTGTACCTCAAAACGCTGCCTTTGTGAGTGATGTCTTGTTCCAATGTGGATAGAGTGTAGTCACCATTAAGAACATACGTGCCATCTGCAGCTTTAATAGCAAGGAAACTGCCATCATGTCTTGATCCCCGGTGATTCCTCTGCTTAACCTCAATGTTGGTTGCTCCAGCTGGAATGGTGACAATGTCGTGATAACCCGGTCTGAAGGGGAGAAAATGCAAGTATTGAGTTCTCAGTTTTCTACTGCTGGAGTGTACAATTTAGCAAAGGACAGGTCAACTTAACCTCAAGCACAAGTTTAAGTACCTGTAGTTCAGCAGGACACAAACATGTGATTAAATACTTTGCTGAATCACACCCCAAATTACTGCCATCATATCTTAGTGTAGTGTAGACACACTACATTTAAAATTGGGCATTTTATAATTGGTCATAGCTGATTATAAAAAGCTCAAGTATAGAGTGAACTAAGCCAGTATCCTATTCACTTTAAAACCCAGAAAAGTTAAGCTTGCAACATGTTAACTAGATCAGAGTGTTAAATGCATCTGTAAACTCACTTTGCACTAACTGCTGTGCCAGATACTTTCTTACAGGTTGATCCATTGCCTCCACAGATACCACATTTGTCAAACTTCTTATTGGATCCTATCATACGATCACAGCCAGCCTTTACACACTGTCCTTGAACACAGACAGAAGTGGAATCTGGGCTACATGCGGTGCCATCCACAACCTTTAGAGAATAATAATAATTAAGAAAAAAATACAGCCATAATGCTTTTGATTAGAATATGTATATTTATTTGAATACCTGGATAATATATGAATGGGTAGGAGAAGCATAGGAGCTCTATTTTGAAGACAGTTAAATGTTGAAATTAAAATGTATCACTTTGTTAAAACATACAGTGTTCTCTCATTTCAGCCACAATGAGAAGACACCATAGTAGCAGAAAAGATTGATTCATTTCAGTTTTAAAGAGGGGACTTTAACTGAGCAGCTGTGTATAAAGACAAGTAATTTCTTCCTATTTCCAGCAGAGGACAGTCTTGGCCCTGAAACATAAGGACCAGACCCAGTAATACCTTCCAATTTTTTCTTGACTAGTATATTCATAAGAATAGCTTCATATTAAGTGTATCTCTATTCCTTATGTTGATCTGGCAAACACTGTTGGCTCCCAATCTATACTGGTAATGAATCCCTCAGGCTAGCTACATTATATAAAAGATTTATTTTTATTCATTTTATGATATCAGCCTTTCAGAAACTATGGGCAACAGAAAGCCAATATTCACTCTTAAGATAGAGGGTTAA